GGGGAGGCCGGCAGGGCGGCGGGGCGGCCCGCCGGCCAGCAGCGGCAGCGGGTGGCCGCGGCGTCCGCCCCCCCCCCCCCCGGGGCCGAGGGTGTTTCTCGGGCTCGGGGAGCGCTCGCTGTGGCCCACGGTGTGTTTGGCGAGTTCGTGGGCCGTTTTCGTTTCGATGTCGTGTTGCGGGGAAGGCGGGTTCGAGACAGAACGGAGGGAAAGCGAGAACCAAACGAAGACGAGAAGCACCGTTCAGGTTCAGCCCTGGGGGAGGGGCTTGGCAGTTGCTTCCAGCGTGGCTGGGCAGTGACGTCGCGCTCTGTGCCGCGGGCATCGCGTCGGCCGTTGGTGCGAAGCCGAGTCGGCTGCGCGTGCTATCGGCCGCCTCATCGCCGACAGCCAGCGAGTCAGGGGGCTCAATTTACTAGCTCGCGCTTCCTCCTTCTGACTTTCTTCCGACAGTGAGAGCCGTGTCCGCTAACCTCCTCTCCAGATGATGAACACCGGCAGGGGCATGAACTTTCGCATGTCTGCGCAAATTTCCTCGACTGGCGCTGGGACCCCTTCTTCTCCTCCCTCTGCGGCCCGCCCGCCCGCAGATCCCGCGGCGCGACATTCCCGAGAAGTGGGCACGCCGCGTACCTCTTGGCCACGATTCCCTTGGCCGCCAGCTTCTCGTCCGTCTGCAGGGCCCCAGAGCCGAGCGCACAGGCCAGCGGGGGCCCCGTCCCCACATCTCTAGACGGTGCCTCCGGCGCCGCGGGGACGTGGGGGCTGGCCGCCAGCGGGCAGTGTCAACTCCAAGCCGTCAGCGGCCCGCTCTGTTCCACCTCTTGCTGGCATTATTCGCACATATCTATTCTTTAGTTATACACATTTCTCCGTTGTCCTCCAGTGGCTTAGCAATCTCTTTCAGCACTGTGCCCATTAAGCTACACTCGGCCGCACTCTGAGGTTTCCGTTGGGCGAGCGCACGCACACCCCAACGATCCAGCGCGCGCTCCTGTGCGCATCCGCCCAAGCGTAGTCGAGTACAACTTGTCACGCTAGGGGTACCAGCTCGGAATTTCGCAGCGAGCAGCGCGAGGTTGAGGAGTGATGAGGGGAGATGGAGGGAGAGGTGAGGCGGTGAGATGCTTGCGCCCTCGACGCAGCCTTAGCCACTCAGAATTCGCATGCGTCGTGCATGATTCCGCAGTGACCTTTGTTCGCATTCGAACAAAGGGCATCTGCGGACGCGTGGTCGTCATGTTTTAATCGATTTCGGCCGCTCGCATGATCGTGGTCCAGTTCTGGTCTTTGCTCCAAGACTTGTGCGGGAAGCTTGCGTACGCCAGTTAGGCGTGTGCACAGCTGCTAGCCGCAACTGGCGCAGGCATTGGGGCCACATTAGGGTGCCTCTCGGGGGCTGCGAAGAGCTCGCGGGGGGCATCGGGGTCGCATTGGAGCACGATGGTGTTCACGAGCTCTCCCGAAGAGGCTCGGCTGGTAACCATCCCTGGGGCGGGCTGGGCGGGCCTCGAGGCCGCCTTTGAAAGCTTTAAAGCCCTACGACGACACGCCAGGCGACGACCCCCTCGCTTCCCCGACGTCTCCAGCTCTCCCCCTACAACGAACGCCCCCCGAACCACGATGGAAGCATCTTGTCATGGGGACTGGGCTTGCAGGGCGCTGCCGCCTGCGCGGCGCTTCACCGCACCGCCTGCGGTGGGGATTCACCCTACACGGAACGCTGTTTCAGATTCCGCGCGTCTCCATGGGAGCTGGCGGGAGATAGCGCATTTCGCCGCATTGCCTCCCCGCCACCACTTGGATCCACCACATCGCAAATAAAAAACATCCACTCGTCTCGTCAGTCGCCCACGCTGCTGAGCGACTGCCTGGGTCAAGTGACCTGGGCCTCTAGCCGTAATCGAATGACGGCTCTCGCTAATTTCCAGGGTTCCCGCCACCCCCGTACGGGGTCCCTATCGGCGGGCACGGACCGCCAGGGCCCAGGAGATATCCATATATTATGGTGCGTGGCTCTGTTGGGGGCTTGGCCTAGCCGTGCCCCTCAACGGAGTCATCAGTCTGTCCGATCCTCTTCCTCCTCCTTCTCCTCCTCCTCCTCCTCCTCATCCTCTTCCTCCTCCTCCTCCTCCTCCTCCTCCTCCTCCTCCCTCTCCTCCTCCTCCTCCTCCTCCTCCTCCTACCTCTCCTCTCCTCTCCTCCTCCTCCTGCTCTCCTCCCTCTCTCCTCCTCCTCCTCCTCTCCCTCCTCCTCCTCTCCTCCTCTCTCCTCCTCCCCCTCCCCTCCCCCTCCTCCCCTCCTCCGCATCCTCCTCCTCCTCCTCCTCCTCCTCCTCGACCCCAGAGGGGTCGACCGGGCACCCGCTCTTTTCCACAGCGCGGCGCAGCGCGCGGTGCTCGCCCAGGATTGATGATCGTTTTCTAATTCACTGTTTTGTCGATCGGCGCTGGGCCTCGTACCCCCCCCCGTCTCCCCCCCCGTGGAGTAGATCTTGGCTTTTGGGGGCGCTTGCTTCGAGCCGGTGGAGGCGATGGAGGCTCCCCCATAGGACGCACTGTTGCAAAGAGCTGCATGAAGCAGATGTCCGGAGCCAGAGCCCCCCCTCTCCCCCCCATTCCGCCCATAGTCGAAACGCCGAAAAAGAAAGGCGCACTTGCGAGGCTTTGACCACCAGGGCGGGAACTGGCCCTTGGAACAGCCTTGGCCGGCACTATCTCGGATGGCCCGAATGCCATGCCGATCTCATGGCGTTGATCATGGGCCGTGAATCTGCACACGTATACTTTCCACGACGGCCATGCCTGAGAAGTTGGAACAATCTGACCACGGACCACCCTTGGTCGGGACACCTTGGAGTGAGTGGCCCACACGCCGTGCTTGTCACGTTGCAGTGGCCACGGGGCTGTGAGAACAGACGCATGGGCCTCGCACGGCTTGTAATCTGCTCGAGCGGCCCCCACCATCCGGGCGCCAACGCCCCGCACAACATCACCGGTGGGTGCCCCCTTGGTTGGCCCGAGCGCCATGCTTGCTGCATCGCGACGCGTGGGGCTGTGAGAAGAGACGCGTCGTCCCCCCCAAGCGGCACTTCTTCATGACAGGTCCCGATGGCCCTAGCGCGCGAGGGCCCAGGGAACAGCCGTTGCCTCCCCCCCCCCCCTTGTGGGCAGCTCACATGTCACGCCGGCTACACCGCGATGATCACGGGGCTGTGAAACTACAGTGGGGGCGCGCATCAAGGAACCATCTGCTTTTCGTCAGGGTACCCTGGGTTTCTTCGCTCCGCGCGCTGCGCGGAGACTTCCCGCGGCCATCAAGGAGGCTGCTGCGTTCAGGGTGCTCCGGGTTTCCCCTCAGGTGCACTTCGCGCGGGAGTTTTAGGGTTGTGTTTCTTGCGAGGGTTTCTTGCGACTGCGTCCGCCCTGTATACACACATGCCTCCCGAAGCAGCCATGTCGCATGAGAGGTCCTGGCAATGTGGGCGTTAGCCGTGGAACACCCTTGGTCGGTGCCCTCTTGGGTGGTTCAAGTGCGATGCATGCTACATCGCGGTGACGAAGACGGCAATTCCGCCCGAGCGGTGCAGGCGGTCTTGCCGCGAACGGGCTCTTGGAGCACCCTTGGTGGTGCCCCCCCTTGGGCGGCTCAATTCGCATTCATGCTACGCCGCGGCGATCAAGGTGTTCTGAACACGCACACGTTTACTCCCCAAGACGGCTGTTCTGCTTTAGACTTCGTGTTAGACTTCCAGGCGGTCTGACACCGAACGGGTTCGTGGAGCACCCTTGGTCGGTTTCCCCTTCGGCGCCCAAGCACCATCACGGCGCACGTCGCGAAAATCATGGGACTGTAGATGTGAGATTTTGTAGGAGCAAGTTTGAGATCGAGTACGAATTGGTCTGAATATGAGTGAGGATGCTAATTTTTGGGTCTGGGTACATTTTGGTCTCTGTATGGATATACCTGATTGCGCATAGAAGCAAATATAGGCAGAAAGAGTCTGAACATGGTTGGATATGTGTGCGGATGGGTCTGAGTGGTTCTGAGTCTGAAAATGGGTGGTCGATCTGCTAGTATGCGGGTGTAAGCGCGAGTGAGGCCGAATGCGATTGGGCCTGCGTCTTAGTATGAGCGACTACGCGTGCAAGTCATTATGAGTAAAGTAAACTCTGCGTATGGATGAGCTTGGGCGTACGTGACTCTGAGCACGAGTCGTCTGAGTGCGCGCACCGCACGAGTCACAAGACACCCATCGGAGTCGGCCTCGTAGTTGTCTGGTATGGTGTGCGTTGATCTGCATAGTTTGAGCGCGCCCGTTGTGTTACTAGGGTGGGGATCGGGTTTTGAGCTGATGTTAGTTCCCTTTAATTCCCTTCCCTTAATTCTTCCCTTCCCGTTAATTCTTCCCGTTAATTGTCTTGCATTCCCTTTATTTGTTTTGTCTTCCCGTTAATTGTCTTGTCTTCCCGTTAATGGTCTTGTCACGTATTCCCGTTAATTGTTTTCTATTCCCGTTTATTGTCGTGTATTCCCTTTATTTGTTACTTTTCGACTCCAAGGCCCCAGTGGGTGCGTTCGAATACAGGAGGAGACGGAGGAAGAGGAGGAGGAAGAGGAGGAGGAGGACTCGTCAGCCTGGCGCCAGAGGGGGGCGGGGCCTGGATCCTCCTCGGGCCTCGGGCGGCCGTCCGGGGCGACTCCGGCGCCTCTGGAAGGCTCTCGGCGAGGCGCAACTGCAGGAGAGCAACCCGAGCTCCCCCACCCCTCGCCCCACATGATTTTCATTGCTGGGGATTACCGTCCAAGGGTTCGGGGATTACCGTCCAGAATTAACGGACCTCCCGGTGACCTCCCGGGGCCCCACCTCCGGGGAACTCTTCCCGATCATTTCCCGATAATAATATGGATTAAAACAATCACAACGAATTATCGGGAAGGCCCTCACCTCCTGCGGCCACACCTCCCGGGACCTCCCGGGAGATTTTTCCTTTTAATGCTTGGACGGTAATTCCCGTTAATTCGGGACCTCCTCCTTCTCCTCCTCCTTCTCCTCCTCCTCTTCCTCCTCCTCTTCCGAGCCCTCTTCTCGGGACCCTGGGCACCCCAAGGGCCCGACTAGGCCCCTTGGTGAGGGCCCTCCTCAGCAGCTGGAGCAGGCGAGAGCTTCGAATGCCGAGCCCGTGCCTCCTCCTCTGCCTCCTCCCGTGGCTCCCCAGGGCTCCTTCAGGCCTTTGAGGTCCATGGGTGTGGTGTTCCTGTAGCCCCAACCTCTCTACGTGCAATATAGGAATATAGGCTGACCATGTAAGACCGAGTATAACTGACGCCCATAATCATTTGTTGAAACAGGCGGGACACTCTAATAAATTATAGGGGCATTAAAGGGAAATTCTTCGACTTAGGGAATTATAGGGAATTGCTATGGAAATTATAGGGAAGCTCGAACAGGGAGTTATCTGTACATCAAAACCCGATCCCCCCTCTTTTAACACAACGGGCGTGCTCAATGCATAGTCCTTCCTTACTCGCCGCGTCGGTTTGCTCATGGATATGCGCGTTGTACCCCGCACAGGCTGTGCCGTTCGCTCCAGACATGCGATGCAATCAGGATATGTAGTGCGATGCATCTCTGGCTGCAGCTCAGTGTCAGTTGTTGTTGAGTCGAGGCCTTACGTAGTTTCATGTAGCAACCAACAGCGCATGTCAGCCTTTTTTGCCTCGTGCATCCCCACCAGCCACCCCACAAACGATGTCCACGTGAGTTGCGGCGATCAATGAAGTGCAGGAACATGCAGCGAGATAGTGAGTGGAGGGTAGCCTTCAAACTGAGGATCGGGATCAGTCTGAGCAGGCCCAGGAGTGAGCCATCCGCGGATCGTTCGGCATGGAAGCAGTTTGGCAGTTGAGTTGGGCCGTCTTGAGACCACCTCAGGGCAATGCTGGAGGCTTTCGGGCCTTCTTGCGGCCCTGTTGGGGCCATCTTGGAGGCCTTGGGGGCGCTCTTGGGGCCATCTTGGAGGCCTTTGGGGCGCTCCTTGGGCCATCTTCGAGGCCATCGATCAAATTCGAGGGCGGTGTTTTTTGGAGCCATATTGGGCCCCTGTGGGGGCTCGAATAGGCCTTCTTGGAGCCATCTGGAGGCATCCACAGCCGATCGGGATCTAAAAGTCGAGAAGAACAACTCACTGATCTGCTTTAGATGTTGTGAAGAGTTGGGGCTCTCGGGAGGTCTTTCGGAGGCTCCGTGGCCACTTGGAACCGTACTAAGGCGAGTTTGGGGCCTCTTCGAGGCATGATTGAAGCTATATTGTGCAATATCGGGCTGAAACTCGCTTAGCAGCTGTTGTTGGACGAGCTGATGGGAATTTGCTCGTGAAGTTCAAGAAGTATGATCAGACGCCTGTCCTGTCCAGGTTAGCAGTCGATTGAGCTTCAGGCTTAGTTTCGTCTTCGGCTGTGACCGTGCACGCAGACTCGGCGTAACGTTCGTCCCACGTGCAGGAATGACGCCAGGCTACGAGCAGTCGCCCGTGAACGAAAGGGCTACTCCAGATTTTGTAGTAAAGGGAGGGGGGTCTCATTTCGGGGGGGGTCTCTTCCAGGCTATCTTGGAGGGCCTGGGGGGTCTGGGGACGATGTTTTGGAGGGTTCTCCCACGGGGGAGGTCTGAAATGGCTTGTCTTGGAGGGTCCAGACCCCCTCCCTTTCATTACGAAATCTGGAGTACTGAGGGAGACGGGTCTCTCCGCAGGTCCAGCCCTTTGTCCCCGCAGGTTGTGGCCCGGTCCCGGGGCCCGTGGAGGGCCCCAGCTGCCCGGACACGGCGAACCAATTCTCGGGGGCGGAAAAGAGGGGGGTGATGACTAGGGGGGGGGGGATATCATGACGGGGGCCATGATTGTTCCCCAAATGTCGTGGCGCCTCTTCTTATTTCATTACGTCCCTGGCCCCCCCGCTGGGCCGCGCACATGCCGCCGGTCATGATTTGCACCCCTCTCTTGGACACCCCCCTCTTGGCCGCTCCCGAAATTCCAGAACCCTTTTCCAAGGACCCGTTTCCTGCATGCTAAAAGGAAGCACGACCACCAGCACGGGGCTCTTTGGTTCCATCTCGATTTCGTCCCGGGCGGTGAATGGCTGCCGCGCCGCGGCCGCCCTTGGAAGGAGTGGTGTTGCAGCAGCGAAGAGCTCGGCTGCGAGACCATCGAGCAGCCTTTCGACTGCAAGTCGAGCTTCGACGACCGTCCTGCGCTCAGAGCCCTGCCCACATTGAAAGTTCGCAGCGCGAGGGGCCTGGGGGGAACGAGGGGGGGGGGGGGCGGACGAAACGCGAGGGCGCCCTCGTTGCCTCTCCACGCCCCCCCCACTCGCCTGCCCTCTTCCCCCGCTCTCTCCTCTCCGGCTTGCTCCCTCGATCCGCCCCCGCGCTCCTCCCCCACCGTGATGGATCTTCCCGCGCCGCTTCTTCCCACTTCGCCAGCCAGAGAGGGCGCCGCTTCGGCCGAAGAGGGCGCCATAAGGGAGCTCGAGGACGGCCCCGAGGACCCCCCGGGGCGGCCCCAGACCGCCCAAGGAGGGCCCGAAGGCTGCCCCCCCCCCCCCCCCCCCGAAAGCCCTGAAGAGTGCCCCAGCACGGCACCTCCGAAAAGTCCAAGTGCAGCATCCCCCTCGCCACCCACCAAGCCACCCCAACCCAAACCCCCAGCACGGCACCTCCGAAAAGCCCAAGTGCGGAACCCCCCTCCTCACCCACCAAGCCACCCCAACCCAACCCAACCCGAAGGCCTCAATTTGACTTCCATTTTGCAGTTGGAGGGGGGGCGCGAGGAACATTGCAAAAACACACCTGGAACCTGTACCCCCACCCAGCCCAAAGTTCGGGCGAGAGATTTGGGTCTTGGGGTTGGGCTGGGGGGGTCTGGTAGGCAGTCACTCCCCCTCCCCCGCCTCCACCCCCTTCCACTGCCCAGTGCCCAAGGGCGCCCTCAAGGCGCGAAGTTCTTCGCGCTTCGCGGCTCGGCTCCGATTCCTCCTCGTCCTCTTCTCCTCCCCTGGGAGGCGGCGCGAGAGCGTGAAGTTCTTCGCACTCTGTAAAGGCCTGGCCAGGGCCTTCAGCGCGACCAGTGAGTTTCGTCGCGACCTTGGCGCGGGGCCTGCGTGAGGTTGGCGCGAGGTGTGTTTCCGAGGCATCATTTCTGCGTTGGCGTTGGCGTGCAGGGCCGCAATTGATTCATCAGGCGCTTCATGCGGCGCGGAGAGTGCGACGCACTCCGCGCCCCGCGCAGCGCGAGAGAGCGAAGCTGGGAGCCCTTGGTGGCCCTTGCCGCGCCCGAGGCGAGGAGAAGTGGACGTTCAACAAGAAGGACTCCCTGCGCGGCGCGCGCCGAGCGCCCCAGCGCCATCGGGGGGGGAGGAGGAGGAGGAGGAGGAGGAGGAGGAGGAGGAGGAGGAGGAGGAGGAGGAGGAGAGGAGGAGGAGGAGGAGGGAGGAGGAGGGAGGAGGAGGAGGAGGAGGGGAGGAGGGGGGTAGGGAACAAGTCGTGGCATAAATATAACAACTCGGAGGTCCGCGCGGATTTCTCGGATCGGCGCTGGGGCCCCCAGGCGGCGCCTCCGGCGCCGCCCCTGGCGCGCTCCGCGCGCCAGGGAGGGGGGTCCAGCGCCGATCCGAGAAATCCGCGCGGACCTCCGAGTTGTTCTGCTTATGTCACTTTTTGTTCCCCCAGGGGGGGCGACCGGTGAGGGCTGGGGCTGCGGAAGCGGAGAGAGCGGCCCTTTGCCGCGCGGCCCGCGACGTGCTCTGCGGAGGAGCCGAGAGCCCCCGCCCAGGAAACGAGCGAACCTTGCGACGTGCAGTGAAGGCCCGGGCCCTCCTCCCTGTCCTCCTCCTCCCTCCCCTTCTGTCGGGGGTGGGCAGACCTCCTACCCTGACGCGTCGAGGAGCGAATTGGCCGTTCTCGGTTCGCGAGAGGGCGTCGCGGCCGTCCTTCTTGCGGGTCCAGGTCCCAGGCCGTTTCCACTAAGGGGAGGTTTACTAAAGGGAGGCTTGTCCACCGCCGCCTTCTGCTCGTTGCCTTCCTCCCGTGCCTTTCCTCCTGCTGCCTGCCTGCTGTCTCCGCCTGGCCCCTGTTCTGCCTGCCCGCCCGCCCCGCGGGCCCTGGCCTCCCGCCTGGGCGTTCGACGTCGTCTGCCTGCCTCTCCCCTTCTCGTCCCCTTCCGCCAGGCAGCGCAGCCTGCCCGGGACCAGCGTGGCGGCATTTTCCTTTCTGTAGATGTAGAGATTTTGACACGTGGGAGGCCCATGCCAAGAAACACCATGCTTGCCTCCAGGGTGCCCTGGGTATCTGGGGGTTTGGTGATTTTGCGATGGAGAGCATGGCGTTCCCACACCAAGAATCCACGGACGTCCTGGGGTCTCAGAGTTGGGCTCTTGTCGAAGGTTCCTTGTGGCCGGGCCCCTACTGTACATGCCCGCAGGCGCGACGCCTGGTCTGCGGGCTGTCCACGGGACCAGAGGTTTTTTCCGTGGAGGCGCAGAGATGCAGCCACGAACGTCAATGCGCTGGCCCCCGCCCCCCCGCCCCCCCAGCAGTTCGTGAGCGTTTGTGTTTCGCTCCGATGGGCAACGCTCGTTACCCGCGTCATCCGCCGCCCCCCCCCCCTCCCCCTCTCTTCAGGAGCGAAAAAAGGACGTACATGTACATGAATCCACGCTGGTTTCGAGAGTACGCATTTCGCAAATGCTCGTATAACGCGGCCGGTCTCGCGGATCGAGGGGCCGTGTTCATGTACATAGCTGGGCGCGTACGTCCTTTATGGGCTCCCTATCTCTGGGTAACGCTAAGGATCGTACTGGGGGGGGGGGGCCCGGCCCCCCCCCTCCTGCTGTGATGCGCCAGTGGCGCGGACGCACCCTGGCGGGTGCATGCCGTGGCCGTCGTCACCGTTCCCCTCCCGCTCCCCCCGAGCCTACCCCCACCCCCCGGGGTAACGACCGTTACCGGGGAGAGGGCAAGCACGCTTTTGTTCAGCGGTTTCGCGGTGCGCAGCCCATCGAGGATGGCAAGGTCTTTTTCTGGACTGACGTCACTGCGCTGGGCTCCACCGCTGCACTCCAAAGCGGCCCCAGTGGTTCACAGTTCGCAGCCCCCCGGCCCTAGACAGTGGCAGCAGTCTCGCAGGCCGCAGCAGACCAGGGATGGCGAGGTGCAGCTTGAGTCTGGGTAGGACGTCACTGCGCCGGACCGCCAAGCAGCTCTCGAAGGTGTCGACGGATTCGCTGCCCGCAGCCCCCCACAGTGATGGCGAGGTCTATGGGTCCGGGTATGACGTCACTGCGGTGGGCCCCAAAGCAGCCCTGGAAATTCGCGACAGTTTCGCAGTTCGCACCCCCCCCCCGCGGCAGGGCTTTGAGTCTCCGTAAGACGTTATTGCACTGGGCCCTGCAGCAGCCCTTCGAAAGTGGCGACGGTTCCGAAGTTCGCAGCTTCTCAAGACACGACAAAGTAAACAACACTAGGTTGGATAAAGTAGGAAGTAGGATAATGAAAAACGGACAGATGAGGAGGGCGGTCGGACATATGAGGAAGGAGGTCGGAGAGAGGAGAAGAAAGTAGGAACGAGGCGGGAAGGAGGGGCGCGCCCGCGATGCCCCATTCAAAAACAGAAGCCCCGCGGGTGGTTGGAAAAAGTGGCAATGCCAGCAGGAGAGATGAAGGGTGATTGTTCGGGCACACGGCTGCAGTTTTCTGGGCTGCGTCAATGTCCTCATTCATCAAGGGCTACTGTGTGCAAGTGTCAACAGAAGGCTCGCGCCGTGTTTTCACGGCGGCGACCCCTGCCCGTGCGTTCAAGGCTGAACGCCGCCAGCAACCCGGAATCGTCCGATCCAGGCGATTTGCACGATCGGGAGGCCGCGATCGTTCGAGGCTAAACGATCCACGCGGTGTCGGATAGAACCGCGCATCATTTTCGTCGGGCCTGTCCCTCTACAGAGGGAATCTTCCAAAGTTAGCAACAAAAAAAAGTCGGTGGACGATCTTCTGATCATGTTTTGACTATGTTTGAGCTTTCTTTGACTATTTTTGATTTTTCCTCCAAAATCCGCCTGTAGGGGGACATGCCCGGCATGGCATCACACTTCATGACACGAACCTGCCGTGCGGCCAGAGACCAGCCGAATCCGAATGGCCGAGAGCGGCTGAACCTCCACTCCAGAACGCATCCTGATCCATTCGTATCACGACTCTAGTAGGGGATCGACTACATAACTGATTGACACCACTATTGACTTGCTCGTCGGGTCCACGAAGCATGCTGCACGCACTTCTCATGGACTCGACGAGCAAGTCTTTTCTCAGGGGCGGAAAAGAGGGGGGTGATGACTAGGGGGGGTGGATATCATGGCGTGGGCCATGAGATCTCCCCAGATTTCGTGGCGCCTCTTCTTATTTTATTACGTCCCTGGCCCCCCCGCTGGGCCGCGCACATGCCGCCGGTCATGATTTTCCCCCCCCCCTCTTGGACACCCCCCTCTTGGCCGCTCCCGATTTTCTGGAGGAAATCCATGCTGAAGTTGATCTCCCGCCCGAGTGACATCATCCTTGCCCTCAGCACGCCTACGGGACCAAACCCGGCGCGACGCGGACGCCGCGCCCCCTGCTCTCCGCAGGACTGGTGCTGCGCGTACCAGAGCGTCGGCTGCGAGGACGAGGCCCCCGCTCGGCGCCCGCCGGCCATGCTTCCCGCGCGCGGCAGCCGTCGTCGCGCGCCGCTGCGAGGCGGCGCCGTCGACGGCGCCGCGTGCCGACGACGGCGTCGCCCTCGCTGCGCGGGCTCCTGCGGGCGTCTCTCACCACCCACCAAACCACCCCAACCCAACCCGAAGGCTCAGATTTACCCTCGATTTCCAGTTGGGGGGGGGTCGGGAAACATCGAAAAAACACGTGTGGAACCCTTACCCCCCCCAACCCGAAATTCGGGTCTTCGGGTTGGGTTGGGGTGGTCTGGTAGGTAGTCAGTCTCTCTGGAGGGCTTCCGCCGCCGCTGCGCAGCGCAGCTCGAAGGAGGTGGCCGGGAGGAGGGTCTGGCGGTCGCTCCCGAGCCGGCCCTGGGGCGACGCCGAACGGAGGATCACCACGCCTGGCATCGCTCGGACGTGTGCATTTTTTTCTCGGCGAGGACCCTGGAGGAGCATCCTGGATCATCGAGCAAACAAAACCACGCACGAAACCGAAAAAAGCACAGGGAATGGACCTCCGAGCGATTGGGTGGTTTGGGGGCGCCCAAGAGAGCCTGGACACATGCTCCTCAGCACAGTAAAGACGCTGAGATAAGGAACAGGTTGGGTTCGGAAGGGGCTCGATGTTCTTTAGGTTCCTCCAGTGCTGTTCCTCTTGCCATCCTGGGGCACGGAGGCGCTTTCAGGGCCAAGAGGGGGCTTCGTTCATTCTTTAGCGTTCCTTCTTTCAGCGGCCCGACTGTAGGGGCGCCTCAGAGAGCCTGGACACATGTTCCTCAGTTCATTCTAGCCCATGGCAACGTACACCCCCCCCTTGCTCTAGCAGTTCCCCGCGGGAGGAGGGGACTATGAGAAGATGGAGGGACAGAAGGAGAAGTTGGAGAATCAGGCTACGATTAAGTCGGGCCTGTCCCTCTACAGGGGGAACCTTCAGGAACACTCAGAAATTAGTATCGGAACTATGTTTTGAACATTTTTTGACCATTTTGGATTATTGTTTTAGTATTTTGATTTTTCGTCGAAAATCCCCCTGTAGGGGGACACGCCCGACTTAAGGCCACGACTGTGACCATGGACGCCCTGATGTCAGCTGGTCCGCCAGAGAACAAGAAGCTCTTCGCATCGCAGTGCGCATTGCCTGAGCATTTCGATCGGCACCGCGCGCCGAACGCGAAGCAGTGCCACGATTTCACCCAGATGTATCTTCTCCCCCAGGCAGTACTTACATTAGGCGCTAGGACTAATGATGTTCCAATCTACCTTAAGCCTCGAGCATCAGAGAGAATTTCGAGCACCAAGAGAGTGTCGAAACTGCAGGGTCGTCACGTGTCGCGCCATGAGAGGCGATATTCGTTCGGCACTTCGCCAGCGTGCTGGGAAGACACCGCTACGATACTGTTCGGGGTGCTCGAAATTACTTCTGGGGAGTGGTCCTTAAGTTCCATGGGAACAGCATAGCGCTAGGGCTCATTTCTTCGGTTGATAAGTGCGGTGGGGCGTTCGCTAAGAAGTGTGCCCAGGAGGCTTCAGACTCGGGAGGATCCCGGGATTGCTGAGGGCGGCGGTGATGTCCATGGCCGATCCGCGATTGGAGTTCCGCCAGCTTCCAGACCCTGGGCTCCTTACAGTCTCGTCCGCCGCCCCAAAAATCCCAACTTCGGCTTCCAAGGGTCTCGCGTCCTTACCGCGCGTCCTCATTAGGGTGTTTGGCTGTATCTAAGGGTTCCTTGTGTCCGATGCCCCCGCCGTACCTGGAGGGGCGTGGCGAGGTCTCGCACGATGTGTGTGGCCGTGGGCGCCTCGTGGGCGCCCCGTGCCCTGGGTGGGCGTGGGTCGGGAGCGGCCAAGAGGGGGGTGTCCAAGAGGGGGGTGTGCAGATCATGGCCGGCGGCATGTGCGCGGCCCAGCGGGGGGGCCAGGGACGTGATGAAAGAAGAAGAGGCGCCACGAAATCTGGGCAAATATCATGGCCCCCGCCATCATAATCCCCCCCCCCCCTAGTCATCACCCCCCTCTTTGCCGCCCTCGAAGGGCAAGGTCCTCTCCTGGTGGGCGGCTGCGCCGACTCGGTCGTCGCGAGGGGGGCGCTCCGCGAGGCCCTTTTCAAAGTCAGAGGAGGAAATGGGTACCCATGCCGCTGTCTTGCGCCCCTGTTCCCTTTCTGGGGCCTCCCGGGGGGCCTTCGTATCGCCACCGCTGGATTTCGCCCCGAAATCCTGGTCAGAGCGCACCCCGGGAGAGGTCTGGGGGGCAGCGGTATCGTTACATTTTCTGTGTCCCCAAACAGAGGCCACCCAGAACAAACACACGCCTCGGTGCCAGAATCCCGACGCGCCAAAGTCTGGGCTCGTTCCCAGGGCCTTGGGGGCCCCGCGGCGGGGACCCCCCCAAAAGGTCGGGGCCCAGTTCTCATGGCGCCAACATCGCCGAGCGGAGTTCGCCCGGAAAACGACGTTCCCTGGCAGACGGCCTCGTCAGCGCACGCAGCTCTTTCCATATGTTGTTCCGGCCTGAGGGCTCGGCAAGCACAGGGAATCTATCGGCCCTGGCAATTGCCGCGGCTGATCCTGCTTCCCCTGCCTTGCTGCCGCTGCGGCTCTTGCTGAGGCTGTTCCTGCTGCGGCTGCTCCTGCTGCTGCTGATCTGCTGCCACTGCTGGTCGCTATGCTGCCCCTGCTGCCGCTGCCTCCTCTGCCCCCGCTGCCGCTGCTTCAGAAGCCAGATTCTACCCCCGCGGCTCGGCCGCAAAAGCAGAAGAACCAACACACACGCCTGCCGTATTCCGCTCGTTCTGCTTTTGCAGCAGCTGCCGCTTCTGCCCCCGCTTGGCCGCTGGGCCCCAAGGCGGGTGGTCGAGGAATCCCAGGCGGCATGTGTCCGTCGACAGCGCATGCCGGTGATCCAAGCAGGATCCCGCCCCAGACATGCGACGTCCTGATTTTTTCAGTGCGGCGTCCCCGGAAGTCCAGGCCCTCTCCCCGGGGCTGGTTTCTCATCCCGAGTCATTTTGTTACGGTCCCGGGGCCTGGCGAGGGCCCCCAGGGCCGAATCGTGTGCAAAGCCTCCGTCCTGAATTTTTGTACGACGCGAGCATGTCTGGGGCGCCTCCCTCCTCCTCCTCCTCCTCCTCCTCCTCCTCCTCCTCCTCCTCCTCCTCCTCCTCCTCCTCCTCCTCCTCCTCCTCCCCCGGCTGGTCGGAGGCCCTCGTGGCGAGCCGCAAGTGGCAGCGGCCGGCGCGGCCGCTCCTGCCTGCCGGCGGGGGCGAGGCTCGCTGCCGGAGAGGGGGGAGGTCGCCTATAGTCGGGTATGGCCAGGACCCCGGGTAAGGGGACCCGGTTAGTTGTAGGGCCTTGGGGCCCCTCAATTGGCCATATTCATCAAACCAGGTTTGCCGTAACTGGTGTTTTTCGGGTGACGGCAGTTCCGGTTAGTGGAAATGGGGCGGGGGGGCGCCCCCGGTACGAATCACTAAACCAGGTTCCACTAAACCCAGTTCTGCCAACGCCCGACTATAGCCCGGTTTGCCATGGCGCCAACATCGGGGGAACGCAAGACCCGAGTAAGCCGGAACTCGGATTAGCCGACGGTTTTTTGACGAGCGCGTCCTGGACTTTGACGGTCCAGGTTTCGTGGGACGTCTGCAGTGGGAGTTCGCGTGAAATTTCAGATTGGGCCTCGTCATTTTGATGATTGCCCCGTCGGGCCAACCCGAGTCCCCCGTACCCGAGTCTTACGTCTCCCCGACAACATATCGCAGAGCGGATGTCGTTCGGAAAGCGATCGGATGGGCCAGGAGCGTCTTGGAGGATTTCGTTCCCGATCTCGAGGTGACCCTCGTGCGGATTTTTGTGTCGGGCCACCTAAGGCCATTTTGCGGGGGCCGTCAGGAGATCCCGGCACTGCAGTGCTTTCACAAAGGCGAAGACGAAGAAGCAACGCCATAAACATATTCTCGGCGTGCCGCGCGGATTTCTTGGTTCCGTTAGCCACGCGCAGAGGGGGGTGGGGGGAGGGGGGGCTTCTTAGAAGGCGCGGGCCTTCTCTGTAGATGTTAGGCCGGCGCCTTCTAAGAAGCAGCCTCCTTCTAAGAAGCCCTCCCCCCTCCCGCCACCCCCCTCCCGCCACCCGCCAAATAAACATAGACTTTCGGCGTGCCGCGCGGATTTCCTGGGTCCGCGCTGGGCTCTTCCGGCGGCGCCTCTGAGCGCGCCCCTGGGCGCGCTCCGCGCGCCCAGGGAGGGGGGTCCAGCGCAGGTCCACTTGGCATCGCTCGGACGTGTGCATTTTTTCTCGGCGAGAACCATCGAGGACCATCCTGGACCATCGAGCAAAACAAAAACACGCACAAAACCGACAAATGCACGGGAAATGGACGTCCGAGCGACGGCAGGTCCAAGAAATCCGCGCGGAGCGCCAACAGTTTATGTTCATGTCGTTTCTTCCTGTTCTGTAACAACAGGCGCGTCCGCCGGGTTCCAGGCTCCGAGGCCATGACAGGTCGATCCTGCCGGGGAAGTTGCCGCACCGAGGTGGGGTCCAGGGCTCCGGTCGTGGCTTCTGGCAGTGCCGGAGCTTTCGCGACGGCGGCAGAAGGGGGAAGACCGGTCACAGGCAGAAGGGAGAGGGAGGAGGGAGGAGGGAGGAGGGAGGAGGGAGGAGGGAGGAGGGAGGAGGATCGAGGATCGAGGATCGAGGATCGAGGATCGAGGATCGAGGATCGAGGATCGAGGATCGAGGATCGAGGATCGAAGGATGCAGGGGGGGAAGAGGTCACAGGCAGAAGGGAGACCGGCTCCGCTGCCCGTCCTGGATGGCCGTCGTCGCCACGGCCAGAGGCGCTTCGAACAGCTGGTTAGAACGCACCTGGACGGGGGTCTTGGTTGCGGGCACTGTCTTTATCAAGGGCTCCCTCGAGGGCGCGAAGTTATTCGCGCTTCGCGCTTCGCGGTCCTCGTTCCTTCTCCCCCTCCTCCTCGTCCTCCTATTCTCCCTTTGGGAGGGCGGCGCGAGAGCGCGAAGTTATTCGCGCTTCGCGCTTCGCGCAGCGCGAAGCGCGAAGTTGGGAGCCCTAGCTTTATCCACATCCAGTGCGTCTTGGAGTTTCGGACACTCTTCCCGAGAAACATGAGGCGCACTGGATATGGATTATAGTCTGCCTCAAAAAGGCTCAAATTTTATCCATATCCAGTGCGCCTCGGCCTTGCGGCGCTCCTTCCAAGAAAATCCAAGACGCATTGGATATGGATATAAATATTGCCCGCATTGGAAGCAAGCGGTCCTTCTCAGATGTCCGACGCTTTTTGGTTTCTCCGATCTCGTATGCGTTTTGCCTCGGGTTCGTCCTCTGGGGCCGTTACCGTTCCCCAGGGCCATCAGAAGAGGAACTCGCATTAAAGCAACATGTCGTCGGGCGTCTGGGTGCGATAAGGGCGGAGGAGGAGGAGGAGGAAGGCGAGAGAGGAGGAGGAGGAGGTCGACGAGGAGGAAGAGGAAGAGGAGGAGGAGGAGGAGGACGAGGAGGAGGAGGAGGAGGAGGAGGAGGAGGAGGAGTTCGGCAACGGCTATAAAGGTGTCCACCGCATTCGCACGCATCAGAGAAAACTCCAAAGGAGTTAGGGGTAAAGCTCCTCGGGGGGCGTTACAGCGACGACGAGGACGAGGAGAAGGAGGACGACCAGGAGGAAGGAGGAGGAGGAAGTAGGAGGAGGAGGAGGAGGACGAGGAGGAGGAGGAGGAGGCGAGGGGAGCAGCAGGTAAAGGAGGAGGAGCAGGAGGACTTCGCGTTGCCAAAACATCGCGACGCAAGGTTTTGGCATATCTTCGGCGTCCCTGGTCCCAAGGGCGGTGGAAAAACAACTCGGGATGAAAACCCCGGGCTCAGGAAAGATGTCCAGCGGTGGCCAAAGCTATGAAAAAGTTATCGTCGAAGCTCCATGGGGGGAGGGGAGGGGAGGAGGTTCCAGGGGGTGAGAGCCGTAGCGGGGGGGAGGCGCGAAGGACGTCAGGAGAAGGAATTAGAGGATGAAGGGGAGTAGGAGGAGGAGGAGGAGGAGGAGGAAGAGGAGGACGAGGAGGAGAAGGAGGAGGAGGTTGTCTAGGACCCAAGAATATGCACCACCATCACTTCCCCCGCTCCCGCCCTCTCACAGGGAAGAGGAGGGGAAGAGGAAAGTAGAGGAGGGAGGGGGGACGGAGGTGGATGTGGTGTCTATTCTCGGGCCCGCTGGGGGGATTGGGAGGAGGAGCGAGGAGCGAGGAGGAGGAGGAGCGAGGAGGAGGAGGAGGAGGAGGAGGAGGAGGAGGAGGAGGAGGACTCACAGCTGAGAAGAGTAGAGACTGGGAGGAGCAGGAGCCGCGAGGGCGAGACAAGCAGGGAAGGAGGAGCGGGAGAAGGAGGAGCGTTGAACGCCCACGGCGGCCGCGAGAGGGCCGTGACCCTCCGGCGCCGCCGCGCCGCATCGCCTCGGAGGCCTCTCGGAGGTGTGCTCGGCGTCGTCTGCGGCCGCCTGCTCTGCCCGCCTTCCCGCTCCTGCATGATGGCCAATTCGCTACAACGGTGCCCCCGTTTGGTTAGCTCCTGCTGCCAGCGCCGGCGGCCCCTGTGTGGCCGCCGACGTGGAAGCGTTCGGCGGCAGCCGCCGGTCTCCGGCGGCCGTCGCGGGCTCCGGAGGATCTCCGCAGAGGGAGGGCGCGGAGGAGGAGGAAGGGGAGGGATCAAGACGAAGCCAGGACGAGGATCGGATTTGGCAAAGACAGGTCGAGAATCTCTGAGATCCGAGAGACCGGATTTGATCCTTAAGACGGGCCTGTCCCTCTACATGGGGAATATTCAAACATAGTTTTTTGGATCATTCTTTGAGTACTCCAGATTTCGTAATAAAAGGGAGGGGGTCTGGACCCTCCAAGACAAGCCATTTCAGACCTCCCCCTGTGGGAGAACCCTCCAAAACATCGTCCCCAGACCCCCCAGGCCCTCCAAGATAGCCTGGAAGAGACCCCCCCCCCGAAATGAGACCCCCCTCCCTTTATTACGAAATCTGGAGTATTCTTATTTTTCGTCGAAAATTCCCCTGTAGGGGGACACGCCCGACCTGATCCCAGCCCCGTCCCAGTCTGCCCTGAAATCCACGAGGGCAGGCAGTTCGAGAGCGTCGCGCCCCCGACGGAAGAATCAGTTGTCGGGTGGGCGCTCGGTGCCTCCCTCAGGATGTCGGCCAGGCGCGTGGTGCTCGTGCCTGGCACTCTGGGGGGGGGGGGCGGAGGAGAGGGGAAGTGAGGAGAGGGCAGGGAGGGAGGGGGGGGAGGGGAGGGGAGGGGGGGGAGGAAGGGGAGGGAGGGGAGGAGGGGGGGGGGGAGGGGGAGGGAGGGGAGGCAGGAAGGGAGGGGAGGAGGGGGCAGGGAGGGATGGGAGGGCGGGGAGGAGGGAGGGGGGGAGGGAGGGATGGGGAAGGGAGGAGGGGGGAGGGAGGGGAGGAGGAGGACAAGCACCTCATCAGACGCCCTATCCCTCCCTCCCATCCCTCCCCAGAGGTGGCATGATGGGGGGGAAACCATAGTAACGCAACAATCGGATCCAGAACCGTTCCCCGCGTTTGGGCGAGATCGCCATTCTGAACGACGGAAGCAACACGCCGATTCTGAGATGAGGCCCACGCTTCAACGAGATTACAATGTCGAAGCACCGAAAACAATGCGATTCTAAACTTCCAGAAGAAAAAACAACCGCTTTTCGAAACCCTTTTTGGAAGCAAACATGCTCAACCACATGTAATTTAGAGTACTGCGTTGTGGGTAATTGCCGACCGCTTTCGGCTGAGCTCCCTCTTGGGCCACGAAGCGTGTGAGTGATGCACCGGAACGGGCGCGGTGTTGCCATGCGAACGCAGGCTATTGGGGTTTTCGGTGGGGCTCCCTTTTGGGCCACGAAACACGGGGTGGGTGTGCCGACATTGGCGCGGTGGTGCCATGCGGGCGTTGTTGGTGGGGTGTCGGGTGGAAGCGTGCGAGGGTGTGCTAAAACCCGCGCGGTGGTGCCATGCGAGCGCACCCACTCGGGTACTCGGTGGAGCTTTCTATTTGGGCCACGCAACGTGTGAGCGGTGTGGGAAATGGGTGCGGTGGCGCCATGCGATCGCAGCCACTCGAGCCTCTGGTGGAGCTCCCCATGTGGCCACGAAGCGCGCGAGTGGTGCGCGGGCATGGGCGCAGTGGCGCCCTGCGAGCACAGCCGCTGGGGCCCTCGGTGTGGCTCCCTACGTGGCCACGA